TACTGTCCACTCCTAAAAAATAATATACAGGCAAAGGTTGTAGGTAATTAAGTACGGTTGATTATACTACGTTGGTTTAACTGAAATTGAGTTAAATTTGTAGAATTTGGATGAATAATTTTCTGAATTTTTCCATTCGAATTTTGTAGTGTAGCTGGACACACTCTAGAGGTCCTCAAAGTCGAGGGGATAATATGGATTCGATTTATGAGTAGATAGAAAAATGTCTTTTCTTCCATAATATCTCAAAATAAACAACATAAAATATCCTTACCCGTGAACGTCGGCAAAGGACTTTGATATGGAAATGTCCTATTTTTTACTCAAGTTGATTGATATTAAATTATATTGTACACAGCAATCATTTAGTCACACCATTTCAAGAGTTCACCTCGATTGTACTTCTCTCTTGCTATTTGCCAAATATTGGTATAAGTATAGAAAGCCATAACTTATAGTCGATGATCGCCTACGTTATAAATTGACTAAAACGATAACAGAACGCAATATTCTCAATTTATGGAGATACGATAAACGGCCGTCGTGCCATTTGAAAGTATAAGCTATATATTTATGGAACCAAAGCGTAAACAAACAAAGCTCATTCAGTTCCAGTAGGTACTTACTTCTCTCATAACTAACGAGCAGTGAATTTCTCGAAGGAAGTTCAACCAATATATATGTTAATATCGTTAGATTGAGTTTCTGGTCAATTGCGTACGTTTCTAAACTTACCCTATTAACTTATATACATGCGAGATTGTTATGATGCTAAACAATGCGTTCGGGGATTTTTCCGATCGATTCCATTCTATATGGAAAGCTGTTAAGCTACCAGAGTCATTAATTTCTGGTAAGTAAAATTTGCACTCAGAACAAACTAGTTTCGGAAAACTTAGGGAAAAAGGTTGAAACACGTAACAGTTATTTATAAGAGTCAGGAAAATAACACATTACTAGCGAGGAAATATTGAAGTACGAGACCCGTTTGGAGGCGAGCAATTATTCAAAATATAGTTCCAACTATTGTAAAGGTATCTCTCTTCATCTGAATCATAGAAGTGCATAATCTCAATTGACTTATCCCAAAAACTGCTTTCGAACGAAGATTAATTGCAATAAAAACATTTTCTAATAGGAGAAAGAAGATTTGTAGTATAGGTATGTGCTATTAACTGATTCTTTAAATTAATGCATATTTTCATTAATCGTATCTATTTTATTTTATTTTACTAAAATAACTTCTTAAAACAAATAAAGATCTGACTGTCATATTAATTCATTTGATTATTGTCTTTTTGGCTTCCGTATTTTTCTTCTCGTTATCAGTTCGTGTGTGATTTTGATATTGTCAATTGGTATAGTGCCAGTTACGAAAGCGTAGAACGGACAAGGTAGTTCAAATTATGTAATCCCGAGATATAAGTCGGGATTATACGTAATCTCGAGATGCAAGTGAGGATTATACTTAATCCCGAGATATAAGTCGAGATTATACTTAATCCCAAGATGTAAGTGCGGATTATACTTAATCCCGAGATATAAGTCGCTTTCGTAATATTGTACGAAAGTGTAGAACGGACAAGGTAGTTCAAATTATGTAATCCCGCAAGTCAAAATTAGACTTATCCCGAGATATAAGTCGGGATTATACTTAATCCCAAGATGTAAGTGAGGATTATACTTAATCCCGAGATATAAGACGGAATTATACTTAATCCCAATATGTTAGTGCGGATTATACTTAATCCCGAGATATAAGTCGCTTTCGTAATATTGTACGAAAGCGTAGAACGGACAAGGTATAGTTCAAATTATGTAATCCCGAGATATAAGTCAGGATTAGACAATCCCGAGATATAAGTCGGGATTATACGCAATCCTGAGACGTAAGTGAGGATTATACTTAATCCCGAGATATAAGTGAGGATTATAGTTAAGTATAATCCTCACTTACATCTCGAGATTACGTATAATCCCGACTTATATCTCGGGATTTATTTCTCGAGATTACGTATAATCCCGACTTATATCTCGGGATTAAGTATAATCCGACATTTATTTGTCTTAAGAAGTTATTTTGGGTGCATAAAATTAGGCGCCCTTCAGGCGAGATTTTGTCATTTAAAAGTAGACATATGGAAAAACAATACACGTAAATCCATATGTCTACTTTTTAATAAATAGCACTGTACGTTTTTTCTTTTGTCTTCTATAATAGGTTTCTAATGTAGGAGCTTTCCGGTTTTCATTTTCTGGTCGAATTATTAACAAAACGAGCAAAGTTAGCGTAGTAAGTATAAGAAAGTTGAAATGCACATCTCCTTGGTCTATACACCAAATTTCCATTTTGAACTTGCGTAAATCTATCCTTTTGCCATTCACATTTTAGACTAATTAGCTCTGTTGCGTTTCCTACATAGAATTCTTACCTTTCGTTATTCTTTAGAAATTCCACCTTTCTTTTTCCCTTATTGAAATGGGGGGTTGAGGGGAGGCTGGTTTTATCCTCCATGGCACTCTAATGAAACTCAATAAAAGGAATGAATTTCTACTAACCATATAGTCTTTCTCCTCGACGGCTTATCGTGATCAGTTATAATTCTTTGTATCTCAAGAGCCGGATTGTCGGATGAGGGTCACAAAGAAAGATTAGCAGGACATCTGGAAGAAATTTATCTCTTGGTGATGCTAAAACTTTAAAAATGAAAATCTCCAAAACAGTTTGTCGGAGAAGAGTAAAAGGCAAAATGAATCGTCTGAACAAGACATATCTACTGGTGAAGTCGAAACGAAATATCTTGAAAACGAAGTGTCTGAAGAGGGTACTCATAAAGGGCAAGTGGAACGTCTAGCAGAGACACATCTACTGGTGATCTACTTTCAGTGTAAATATATGCAGAACGGAAACATGGTCTAGACAAGACATCTCCTGGCGATGTGAAAACTTAATTGTGAATCTTGAAAATGAGGAAACTACTTACCTACAAAGGCAAAAACGATGTTTAGGAGAATTCTTGTGAGGACTTAATTATTGTATAGCGTAGATTTTGAATGCCTGTCAAGGGGCCTGTGTAAAGGTTCCCCTCCCCATTTATATCTAGAGAGATAGTAAATTGGACGACTGTTGCGTGTCGGCTGGCTGCTTCTAAAACTGTCTGCTCAATATTTCGGTTGCCGCAGTCAGGCGCCCTAGTGCATTACTGACCTTACGGTTCCCTACAAAAGTACCCCCAAATTAGGCGTTTGGTTTTTCTGAAATCGAATGTGTCAGATGGTTTAAATTTTTACATGATACAATATTATTTTCTATTCTTTAATCAAATTTAAAGATTGAAAATCTGATCGAATGAGTTATGGGAATTGCAATTGGTACGTTTTTTAAGTCACCAACTTATTCGAATTTAGTAATAAATTTCATTTCTAAGGAGCTACATTCTAAAAGCCTTCCTTATATACAGTGATATTTGTTAAGAAGTACACATAGGGATTTACGTGTATGGTTCATTCGTATGCCTACTTTTAAATGGCAAAATCTCTTTTGAAGCGCGCCTAATTTTAGGCAACCAAAATATTCTTTACACAAATAAAGATCTGATCATATTGTTGCTTTAGCTTTATAGAAAATAACTCTCTTACGCTCCTTAAATTGTTACCGGCACTATACGAATTGACGACATCAACTTTTTCTTCAATTGAATACATCGCTCACCAACGAAAATAAAAATACGGCAGCCAAGCGATAATATTCAAATTAATTAATGACCAATCAGATCTTTATTTGTATTAAGAAGTTATTTTGGTTGCATAAAATTAGGCAATTCAGAATAGACTTTATCATTTAAAAGTAGACATAGGGGAAAACAATACGCATAAATCCCTATGTCTACTTACTGAAAATGGTATTACGAAAAACCCTATTCACACCCGTCATTTTTCGGCTCACCTCACAGAGACCTTACCAAATTTGTCTGTAAGTGCAAAGAAGATTCGGATTCCTGAAGTGCCGAAAAAAAACGATTCTTTGACAGTAAGTTATTAGGGGTTTTCCATTGAAACTTTTTAAGAGGATGGAACAGTGTTAAATTACGTACAACTAACTTCATGTTATTGTAGGGAGGTAAAAAGAAGTACCTAGTAATATCAGACGGTTTTTTGAGAACAGCTCTTTGACGACACTGTACATTTTAAAAAGACGTGTCAATTGAGCCTCCTTCGATAAAATCTGCAATCTTAAAAAAAAAGGATTGTTAAAAGAAGATATATATTGTTACTTTAATTCAGAAGCTGCGGTGTAATTTAAATGATTTAATGTAGGGCTTAGTATGTGAAATTTGATCCATTTACACAAACCTACAATTTTCCAAAATAAATCTCACACAACACTATAACAAGCTCTGCAATCTCGGCTATAGAATGTACTATTGCAGGGAGGTGGGCAGAACTACCATTTTAAGGATAAAAAGGGTTTTAAAAATGTTTCGCGCATTTTCCAATGAAGTTTATCGAAATATGTTTTTGAAATTTTAACCCTAGATGTTTCTAGTAAAGGCAAAAATATCACATATTGCAAAAATAAGATGCGCGAATGCGTAGATTGCGCAATGCCAACTTTCTTACTTATTGGGATGTTTCTTTGAAATTTTGATAGTTTTAGTAGAGAAGATCATAGCCATAGCCTCTTAGGAAGTACTGATAAATGCATGGAAAGTTCGCTCAAGTTATTCGTATGTGCGGAAAGAACTAACTGTATGAAAAATATCAATAAAGGGCCGTATACCAACATTTAAATGTGGATTAATAGAAGGGGAATAACACTAATTTGTCATTGAACACTCTGTTTATGGACTGAGGCGATACTGGTGCCGACTTTAATTTAAACTTGACCTTTAAAACTTTGAAACTGGTACCACATCAAAATAAGTAGTTATTTTGTCGTTCTTGCTTCAGAAAATAACTGTCCCCAGTATACCATACATACCTTCATACTACGAGAAAAGTAAGAATAACACATTTTAATAATTACACTGAAATAACAAAACAATATCATTCGCTTTTCAATTTTGCAACACAAGAAAATAGAATATCTACATCAATAATAACACTATTATTTATTATATACAAACAAATCGTATGAAGCATTTCCTAAACCAAACTATGTATTTATTGCTAAAATTTGACGGATTGATGGAACTTTCAAGTGTAGATAAACTCATAATACTTCCCGACTTATAAATAATATATCTATTTAACAACACTATTAATACGTTGAAACACTTTGTGTACTAATCTTTTTTCGGTTTCTATTTGTTCTATAAAATAATTAACATCATTAATTTTCACGGTACGTTAATATTAATTTCTCTAACATTAATTTGTATTGTACAATTACCGGTGACGTCGACGTCATTTAATTTAAACTATGAAGTAAATGATGTTGTATTCATGTTCGTTATAAACTGTGGATGTTCACATTGGCCACTAGTATCGGCGCTTTGAATCGAAAAGTGCCGGTAAGAAAGATACTCCGGAGGTACACGTTGATCCCTTTTAACGGCATTTCGTTGCTTTTGGATTTTTAAATACCCCAAAACCGACACCAAACCGATAAATACGGCAATACCCATGCAGCATCCAATTATAAGTCCCAGTCTTCGCGTAAGGATCGACTGCACTTCAAATCCTTGATCAGGCAATCCACCAAACCCGCCGTGCAAATTTCCAGATATATCCAAGGTAGCCACCTCCTCGCACTTGCTCACTCTCGTATCGATTAAATAAGGAAGAACTGCATCACTCAGGGTTACCCAATCATCAATCCCCGTCTCGACCTTTGGGAATATACCAACTCGACTGATCTCGTCTCTTTGATTAACCCAATTGCCTAGCGCAATAACGCATATCAAATATCTAGTGCCTGGAAACAACGTGAGAAGCTTGACTGATCGCGAAAACCGATCCATAATTTTGCCGCGAATCTACAAAAATTAACTAGAAATGTGAGTGGAAAGTTTACACTCACCTCCCCTAGCTTGTGAACTGCGTGATATGTTATGTGATACCCATGAAGACCGGAATGATTTCGACTCTGCCACGATACCACCATAGAATACGGCTGAATATCTTGCACCGCTATCTTTACAACAAGCGGTTGATCGCAAAATTGATTCGGATTTAAATCAAGAAAAATTCGGCCACGTAATTCGGGGGGATGCTCGCATTGCAGTTTGCGCCTTCCCGTTTCCTCAATTAATTTTTGGTGCTCCTGTAACCACTCCCACAGCTCCTGTGAATCGCAGCTGCACGAGATGGGATTCTCTATAATGGAACATAAAACTTATGTTAGTTAGACCTCGTAATCTCACCTTCCGTTTTCAGACTACGTATTTGAGTTTCCAGCGATCGGAACGCATGTAGCGGGATGTTTTCCAAGTAATTTCTGCTCAAATCGAGAATCCTGAGCTTTTTTAAGGATTTAAATGAGTCGGTAGAAATTGAACTAATCCAATTTCCGTATAAGTACAATTCAGCGAGATTGTCTAAATGTTGAAACGTAGTCTTATTTATTTTCTTTATTTGATTATATGATATGTCTATTACTTGCAACGATTTTAAATCCGAAGGAAATTCTTCTAGTTCTTTCAATTTATTGTACGTTAAATTAAGGGTTCGTAAATAGAAGAGTCCGTGTAATCTTTCTTGTGGGAGCAATTCTAGCTCATTTATGCCCAGATCCAATGTCAGCAGATGAACTAAGCTTGAAAATGCTCCGGGAGAGATACGGGAAATTTTATTCTCTCTAATAAATAAATAGAGCAGAGCTGGGAACGACTCGAAGTCCGTGCTGGTTATAATGCTGAGATTTGTTTGACTTATATGAATTTCTTCTAAAGCGGGATATTTGTGAGATGATGAAACGTCGTGGATCTTTACGAGCGGATTTCCAATTAAGTTCAGCCAGCGGAGACCAGATAATGTAGCTTCTGATAACGATAAACTCGGAATTTGTCGGAAATTGTTAAAAGACAGATCAACTTGTCGCAATAAATGCGAATAGATAAAAAAATTGGCAGGTAAAACACGCAGGGAATTTGAGCTTAAATCTACTGATATTAGTTGTGTTAAATTGGTTACGGTAAATCCCGAAACTGACGATAATTTATTGTTTTTAAGATCTAACTCTTTTAAATTTGGAAGACCGTTTAAGCGAGATATTTCTAAGGAATGGATTTTGTTGGTGGCTAAGGAGAGTGTTTCCAGCGTGGACAAATTTAGAAGAGCCCGATATGGAACGTCAACAAAATCGTTATCGCATAGCTTTAGTTCCTTTAAATTGCTCAAAGAGACGAATACACCGTGGCGTAAATTTTCTAATAAATTTCCGCTCAAGTCGATTTTCTGCAAGTTCTTATTTTTAGAAAATATGTTTTCGGGTAAAGTGTGCATCTGACAGAATTCTATGGAAATGGTTTGCAAGGAAGGTAATCCGTAAAGTACAGAGCCGGAAATGTCGCTAAAATTGTTATGCGAAATCTTTAGTACTCTCAAACCGGGAATGTCCAAATGTTTCAGATCGGCCGATTTCAATTTATTGTTCGCTAAATCTAATTCGTTGAGGTTGTTTAATCCTCTAAAGGCACCAGATTCAATTTTTGTAATTGAGCAATTCATAAGGTTGAGAAATCGGATTGGCAATCTCTCCTGGAACATTGCGTCATGAAGCACCATCATAAGATTGTGGGACAAATCAAGGACCCTTAACCTTTTTAAATTATTAAACGCGCGATGCTCTATAACTTGCACTTCATTCTGTGACATGTAAAGCTCTTCGAGGTTGTGAAGCTCTGCAAAAGTTAGAGCACGAACATGAGTAACTTTATTCAAACTAAGATCTAAATACTTTAGCGTTTGCATCGACTGGAAAGATCTGTCTTCAATATAATTTATGCTATTATTTCTGAAGTAGACGCGCTGAATTAAATGGAGATCTCGAAATAGTGATTTATCTAATTTAGTAAGCTTATTGTTTCCCAACCAAATGATTTGTATGCTAAACTGTTCGTGCAGAGAATCGTTATGTAACAATGTAAGATGATTAGAATCAAGACGAATCGATAACAGCGATGAAGATTCGTGCAAAAATACGTCTTCTAATTCAGACAACTTATTCTCCTGCAAATTTACGTGTTCCAAACTTTGCAAACTATGGAACGCTCCGGGTTCAATTGACGTTATAAGGTTGTTCTGCAAGTGTAATTCTAAAAGAGACGGAAGAGGATAGAAGACATCGCGCTCTATGTTTTGTATTCGATTGTTGTGTAATCGGATTTCTCGTAAATTAGACGCCTTATTGAATGTTCCAGATTCTAAATTCATTATTAGGTTGTTATCTAAACTTAAAGATCTAATATTATAGCTGTTCTGCAAAAGCTCCTTAGGGATGCGCGATATGAAGTTTGAACTAAGGTGTAATTGGGTCAAATTATGTAACGTCCTCAACGCCTCTCCGTCGATATGACGAATTGCGTTTTGTTGCAAATAGATTATGGAAATATTGACAGAGTCCGTGAACGCGTCTGGAGGGATTTCCAATATATTATTTTCCGATAGGAATAGCTCGCTTAAATCGGGAAGCATTAAGAATAATCCGTTGATGTAATGTAAATGATTGTGGCTTAGATCGATAGATACGAGTCTCTTGTTTGTCTGAAAAGAATTGCGATGCAGAAATACAATTCTGTTGTGACTCAAATCTATGGATTCCAGGTTTTTTAAAGATAAAAATGCACTCGCGTGTATTTTTTCGATTGAATTGTAATACAGAGATAAAGTTCGAACCGAAGGAGTTGTTTGAAAACAATCTTCCGCGAGACTTTCGAAATTATTAGAGCTCAAATCCAAAAACAATAGAGAGTCGAGCCTCGAATACCCATCGTTCGGTATTGAATTGATCTCATTCCAAGCTAAACGCAATATTTTCAGCCGCTTCAAACGTCTTAATGACGTTATAGGGAAACTGGCGAGTTTATTATCTCCCATATCTAATTCGGCTAAACAGTCCTCGAGACCGGCAAAAGCGTACTCCGATATTTTTTGTATTTGATTTGCTTTCAAATTGAGCTTAATCAAATGAAGTCCGTAAAAGCTGTAACTTGGCAAGTCGGTTATTTCATTAGACTCCAATTCTAAAGCAATTAGTTTAATTAGACCGGTAAATGCTTTTTGTGGAATTTCCTTTAACTTTCCAGACACCAGACCGATACTTTCCAATTCGGGCTTCAGAATATAAAAGCAATCGTCGTGAAGCTCTTTTAAATTGGACTGAGATATTTGTAGATGCTTGATGAAGACGCCTTCCGGAAATATGTCAGCTGAAAGTTGCGTAATTGATTTATCCAGATCGTAAACACTTAGCGATTGTATGGGACTTGAGATTTCCTGTAGTACCGCTTGCAATGAACTAATAGTAGCCGATGGACACTCCAGGAAAATTCCGTCTTCAAAATTATAACATGGACAGCTTGGGTTGGCGGCCAAATTTGGACATTTATTATCTAACGCTAGTAAGGGCAGTCCCAGAAAACTCGCTAACAAGAGGATTGTAGCATCATGGTATATCATCATGTTCCTTCCATGATCATTGTAGGAAGCCACTGCTCACTGTAACAAAAGAACATTGTTAATTTAGGTACTTCTGATTTCCTGGTTAATAGATAATAAATATTCCAATGATACTAACACAAATATATGGACAAATAAAACAAATCTCAATTTATAATCCACGTTGTTTAAAATGTTCGCATTATTCTTATCTGGATTAATCTGACTACCCCTAATTTTTTATTCATGGGCACGTTTTTTCTTATCTACTCCTAATTTTTTCATAATAATGAAGAAAGAAAAGCTGCTTTAACTAAGAGATTCAGTTTTATTGATAAAAAACAAGCGAATTTCTATGTAAATTACATGAAAAAACCGGTTACTAGGTCCTTAAACAAATACATAGCACATAATTGCCGAATGTTTCATAATCCAATCTACACAAATTGGTGCCGTTTAATAATAATGCAAAATTGGAATCACTATTTTCCATCAATGGCATTTTTTCTCCTTATAATTTAAACTATCGATCCAAACAAAACAATGTATTGTATTGATGGATCCATCATTGTTTGGAATTAATAATTTGAAAAACAATGTACTTTGTACGGGTACATGACGTTATTAAGCCCCCCAGCGACGATCATCAAATTAATAAGAATGGCTAGAGGGATTAATTAATTAATTAACGTGTATATTAACAGTTCATGGAATACAGGTAGTATAATGTACAATACAGTTTTAGGTTTAGTTCAACTTATAGAGAAAATCAAACAAATATAGCAAACGAGCTCCTGGGTATGGTTATAGAGATGACAAAAGGGCTTTCCGTATTTTTTACCCTACATTGCAAATTCACGGATCCACAAATTTGATAAAGAATCCCCCTGCAAAGTTTCATCGTTTTTTTCATTCATTTTCGAGATATCCTGCTAACGAACAGACGGACAGACATTGTAAAATTATGAACTCGCTAAGAGATACATTTGACATTAGCAATAACCTCCCTGGGTGTTCGTTAATAAGCGGCACTTACATGTCACATGTGAATACACTTTAATAAAACACCTTTACAAGCGCATACAGTCTACACTTGTATGTCTTAGGAAAGAAGAACGTCGTAGAGAGGGTTACATTGGCAAGGATCGACTTTTCCGTATCGACCACCACCTCTGGCATTTTGCACAAGACCGATTGTTTCGTATCGACCGCCTATCAACTTCGAAACCCTTTTTCGACCGCCTTATACACTCAAAAGGGGAAGGGATAACGTTCGCACCTTCCATAGGCCGCAAGCACATTAGCAATAACGAAATAAGGTGTTTCTTCTAAAATAATTCCACCAAATTCCTGAGATTACTTACGTTACAACGATTCCATTTTACATAAGTGAAAACGTTAAGTATAATCAGGTGCAGTAGAAAATCTTCACAGGTACGTGTAGGTACTTCTAAAGGTTTTCTACTCCACATTTATGATTACCTTGTTGGTAAGAGTGTGCGTAACATTCCAACTTCAATTTCTTTGTTATGTTTTTTTCCACGATTTAAGAAATGTATTGCTAATAATGATGTATAATGTTTTATCTGCGCCTGTCATTTTAAGTGGGATAAGAACTTAATTACCACACTCAGTGGGATAAGAACTTCATTACCACACTCATTGGGATAAGCCCTTGTCAAAACAATGTATGATCAAAAATCAACTATCAAGATTATATATTGTAAACATTAACGTCTGATGGAAGAGTTCCAGACTCACTCATGACATAAGCAAAGAAATCAGAAGCAAAATTTTTGACGTACAAATTTTCTTGACGTTAGGATTTTCTTGTTTCTATGGCGTCGAAAACTGCTAACTATGCTACTTCGATTGAAATTTAAAAAAATGCATCAAATTTATTTTTCGTTTTTAGCAGTAGAAGAACAGTCGCAGATAAAAAGTTGTATTTAATACTTGGGCTAACGGCCATTAACATACTCATGCTCTTACAATAATAATAATAATAATAATAGTATGCGCAATTGTCGCATTCGTAAGTTAATGAGGCCGTTATCCCACTGATTAAATAAATAACTATTACCTACTCCCGTTACAATATCCCGCAGTATCTAACCCGGACATGATAACAGTGCCGCTTGAAGATGTGGCCATGGTTGTGTCGTTTTCCAGNTAAAGTTACACGCCCTAGCACAGTTAAAAAACACATAACTCCTTCTTCACAGAAACACACCACATTTTCACAACCCACTCGTATTCAACCGCAACGCAAAAACCTTAACAGAACTACAGGCTCACAACATACTAAAATATCTCCACCAAAAACCCAAGCAACTTCACAAATACAACCTCAAGAACAAAGAAACATCATAAATACAAGTAACGCAACATGCACTACAAAGACATGTCCACCCAATAAAGTTACACGCCCTAGCACAGTTAAAAAACACATAACTCCTTCTTCACATAAACACACCACATTATCACAACCCATTCGTATTCAACCCAAACGCAAAAACCTATACAGCACTACTAGCTCACAAAATACTGTAATATCTCCACCAATAACCCAAGCAACCTCACAAATACAACCTCAGAACAAAGAAACACCATAAATACAAGTAACGCAACATGCACTACAAAGACAGGTCCACCCAATAAAGTTACACGCCCTAGCACAGTTAAAAAACGCAATACTCCTTCTTCTCAGAAACAACCCACTCGTATACAACCCAAACGCAAAAACCTTGACAACACTACTAGCTCACAAAATACTGCAATATCTCCACCAAAAACCCAAGCAACCACACAAATACAACCTCAAGAACAAAGAAACACCACAAATACAAGTAACGCAACTTGCACTACAAAGACAGGTCTACCCAATAAAGTTACACGTCCTAGCACAATTAAAAAACACAAAACTCCTTCTTCACATAAACACACCACATTGTCACAACCCACTCGTATACAACCGAAGCGCAAAAACCTTAACAGCACCACAGGCTCACAAAATACTGCAATATCTCCACCAAAAACCCAAACAACCTCACAAATAGGACCTCAGGAACAAAGAAACACCATAAATACAATTAAAAAACACAAAACTCCTTCTTCACATAAACACACCACGTTATCACAACCCACTCGTATTCAACCGAAACGCGAAAACCTTAACAGAACTACATGCTCACAACATACTGTAATATCTCCACCAAAAACCCAAGCAACCACACAAATACAACCTCAAGAACAAAGAAACACCATAAATACAAGTAACGCAACTTGCACTACATAGACAGGTCCACCCAATAAAGTTACACGTCCTAGCACAGTTAAAAAACGCAATACTCTCCTTCTTCTCAGAAACAACCCACTCGTATACAACCCAAACGCAAAAACCTTGACAGCACTACTAGCTCACAAAATACTGCAATATCTCCACCAAAAACCCAAGCAACCACACAAATACAACCTCAAGAACAAAGAAACACCACAAATACAAGTAACGCAACTTGCACTACAAAAGACAGGTCTACCCAATAAAGTTACACGTCCTAGCACACTTAAAAAACACATAACTCCTTCTTCACAGAAACACACCACATTGTCACAACCCACTCGTATACAACCGAAGCGCAAAAACCTTAACAGCACCACAGGCTCACAAAATACTGCAATATCTCCACCAAAAACCCAAACAACCTCACAAATACGACCTCAGGAACAAAGAAACACCATAAATACAATTAAAAAACACAAAACTCCTTCTTCACAGAAACACACCACGTTATCACAACCCACTCGTATTCAACCCAAACGCAAAGCCAAAGAAACACTTACACAATAAAGTCTATTTAATAAAATTACAGGAATTATTATAATGATATTTTTGTTTTGTTTTCTTCTTTCCTGATAGCGTTGACTATTGGGGCCATTAATAGCTATGTTGGTAAGTGTGAATTACATACTATCTCTAGATTTCCAATGTGAGTGTGTGAATATTTATTTTATTTTTTATTTTTCTTTAGAACCCTACATAACTTCACCAGACACAGACACAGACACTAATCGTTACTTGATTTTAATCCGTGCGATTAGTTAACCAGGCTAGACCTGAGTTCTCACAAGAAACACCGACCATAATAATAATCATATTTATTCCAAAAAAAAAAATTTTAACAATAGCTCGGGCTAACGCCCTCGTATGCGCAATTGTCGCATTCGTAAGTTAATGAGGCCGTTATCCCACTGATTAAATAAATAACTATTACATAATTCATGTGTACATTGGAGAGCAGCAATTTTCGAGCTTGAAATCGTGGAAAAATAACATAACAAAGAAATTTAAGTTGGAATGTTACGCACACTTTTACCAATTTAAAAGTAATCATGATATATGGAGTGAAGAAGTTATGTGAACTTTGTATTAAGATTGTGGAAAATTTCGGGCTTCTCCCCCAAATTTTTTTGAAAACTTTTAATTAATGGTGCCCTTTAGCCATTCTTATCAAGTTCATGAGGGTACCCGGGGGCCTTAATAACGTCATGTAACCCAAAATTGAATCGTATTCCTTTGTGAAATGAATATTTCTTAGATTACCCCAGCTCGAACGGAACGTGGGTCTTATTTGGATAGCCGTCTAATGTCTTAAAATTCCTGCGAAGATGGAAAGGACAATGAAAATTTGTTGGATACTGAATCGCTGGTGGTTTTTTATTGACTACTATATAGTCAGAAAAATATCGTCACTTTATACACTTGATTCTCTAATAATCCAAACCAATAATGTTTAAAGATTCATTTTTTCATAATTTACTGCGCGAACTTATTCTGCATTAACGAAAAATCTCCGACTGTGATGATTATTGTTTTTTTTTTAATTACTGTCACCTTGAACTGTATCAACGTACTCGTCTTGGAACGTCAAACGTAATATTTCCTTTCCGGGCGAGTCCTTTAATTTATTCGTGTTCTCCTGAAACTTGGATTCCTTGTAGCGCACCGCTCGATTTTCATACCGGAATTTATGAACACACCGTACATAGATGTCCGA